AATTCGCATTTGGCTTTCTCGTCCTCCAGTTCATTCCTAATGGGTCTTCTTCCTCCAGAGACGGAAATCCGTGGGATAGGGCGAGGTGTGTATCTTTAGGGTCTCCTTTTTAAACCACATCTTTCCTTTGTGGGTAAGCAGTATCACCGTTGTGCTGGTTGTCTGTGGGGAACACCCTACTTCGGTTACATCTCTGTACAGTCGGCAGTACGACTTCACCCTCGAAACTTGGGTTTGTGGTTTTTAGTTTTGCTGCTCTTCAACCGACCTGCTTGGCATGGTAGGATCTTGAGCAATGATTGTTCCAGCCAGTATGGCCCGATTGGTGAATCAGGATAGACAAGGCCGACCACCGTGTCAAGGGTTGAATGTTTTTCGTAAATGGTATGGCATCTAGCTATGGTCTTTTGACGTATGCTTCGGATTCTTTGTTATTCACACCTAAATGATTCGTGGTCTGTCGACAACAATCAGTCCCCAAAGTGTTTCTCACGCCTCAGCAGCTTTTGGGTTTCCTTATTAATACATGGAGGGCAATGTGATAGCCTCCATCTTGACCGTGGAATGTACGGTGATGTTACAGACTCGAATTTGGCTTCAAACTGATCCCATTCGCCTTCGGTCGACCCATCTGCATGGACACTAGGCAGTCTGTTGAGATAGCACAGTGTCTGATTGCCAGAATATTAGCTCGCCAGATATTCGGACGGGGTGGAACAGATAAATACTGTATATGTGTCCGAAACCTAAAGTAAAGTACAATGTTATCACTACTTGCTAGTGGGAGATGGTGCTGAGTGTCGATAACTTCATCACAGTGGTGTGTAAAGACAAGGTCCAGCAATGACGGTTCATGTTCCAAGTCACTATGTGTCGGTTTTGCGATGCAGTGTACAAGTGCACACCGAATTATAGTTGATAGCAGGTTGCTATCGAAACACCCACTTGAAGTTGTTAGCTCTATCCAGTTGATATGCGACGCGTTGAAATCTCCGATGATGAGACAACAGCCGGCCTTACTCCAAAAATATATATGACTTACGACATAGTCGTCAAGTGGACAACACGGACTGCAGTATATTCCTCCTATAGTCACTGACCCGTGTCTAGACTTAATTGTACAACAAGCTACCTCATATGTACCACTGTCATGCGCCTCTGATGTAATCGGTTGTAGATGAAAGTGATCTCTAACATATAGTATTATCCCTCATCCTTTGCGGTTTATAAATATCACTTCTCAAACAAATGTAACGTGGAATAATGGGGAAACATTCGTTATCTACGGTGAGCCACGTTTCCATGACAACACTTATATCGGGACATAATTCATCCACCACCATACTTAGCTTGGATGTTTTATTCCCAATACTAAGAGTGTTCGTGTAGCACACATTTAAGGTGCTTTGAAGATCACGAATTGACCGTCATGAACGGATTGATGTTAGTAAATTGGTTGCAACTTTTGTTGCAAGTAAGTATCGAGCCGAGCTAGATTCCAGGCTAGCTACCATCCCACCGAAAAGTATAGATCAGCATTAGTTGCAACTGCATAACGCCATGAAAATGTCGAGTAAAGTCGCTTGAGGCTTCGCGAAACGTCCCGCTTATAAACATTGGGTTTCTTCTGGCTCCTTACAACTGATTGAAGCCTGTCGGTCTACTCCGGGTGACCGTGAGTTTGACCACAAACGAAGATTGATACGCAACGAAATTGGCGAAGCTTGCGTAAGGACCGAGAAGCCTGGTGGTCGGAGCGTGCTAATGAGCTGGAAGCAGCAGCTGCATCTGGTAACTGCCGGAAGCTCTCCCAACTCATCCGAGCCACTGGCAGCAAGAAGTCTGGTGTGAGTGAAATAATCTATGAGGATGACGGGTTGCCAATCACTAACATCTATCGACGTCTTGGACGATGGACGGAATTCTTTGAAGGGCAGTTCAACTGTCCTGCTGCTCCGGCAACATCAACCAGCTTGTCCTGCCCCCCATGGCCGGTGAAGAGTGATCCGCCAAATGAGATGGAACTCCGCAAGGAACTCCAACTCTTGAAACGCTACAAATCACCGGGCCCAGATGACTTACCTCCGGCTCTTTTTAAAGATGGTGGTGACTTTCTGACTAAGGAATTGACTGCGTTGTTCACAAAGGTTTGGGAACTAGAAAGTGTTCCAACGTCATGGAGTGAGTCAATAGTTGTCTCTACCATTAAAAAGGGTTCACGTCGTTCCTGTAACAACTATCGGGGGATAAGTCTACTTCCGATTGCGTCCAAACTATTGGCTTCTGTCATTCTTCGTAGATTGTTTAAAACCGGAGAAAGATTGACTCGGAAGGAGCAGGCTGGTTTTCGTTCTGTTCGAGGATGCATTGATCATATCTTCATTCTCCGCCAAATGTTAGAACACCGTCATATTTATCACAGGCCAACAATCGTAGTGTTTCTTGATATCAGGGCTGCCTTCGATTCATTGGACAGGACTGTTCTCTGGGATTGTCTATTGAAGAAGCGTGTGCCTAAGGGTTTCATTAACATCTTGAAATCCCTATATACAAATACCTCAGACAGAGTGGAGGCATACAACCACCTTTCTCCATTGTTTCATTCAAGTAGTGGGGTTAGACAGGGTTACTGAATTTCACCATTCCTCTTCAACCTTGCCATCGATAACATTCTGGAAACAGCTCTGATGGATGTAAGTAATGGCGGTGTGGATCTGCTGCCAGGAGAAAGACTTCTCGACCTTGAGTATGCGGATGATATTGTCTTACTGTGCGATAATGCCCAAGGCATGCAATCCGTACTTAATCAGTGTCCGCAGATACGGTATGTGCTTTGCACCTTCGAAGTGCAAAGTACTCCTACAAGACTGGCAGGATTCTCATCCTGCACTCACCCTGGATGGTGAGCAGATCGAAGTAGTTGAGAAGTTCGCGTATCTAGGTAGCTGCATAAGTGTTGGTGGCGGTGGTGTTAGTAAAGGCCAGAGCGGCTTGTGCCAATCTGGGTCATCTTTGGCGCCTTCGTGATGTTAGTCTGGCTGTAAAAGGTCGGATCTACAACGCGTCGGTGAGAGCAGTTTTGCTGTATGCTTGTGAAACCTGACCTCTCCGAGTTGAGGATGTTAGACGACTCTCTGTGTTCGATCATCGTTGTCTCCGAAGGATTGCTGATATCCAGTGGCAACAGCGTGTTAGTAATGCAGAGGTTCGGTATCGTGTGTCCGGGCACAGAGACGACAGTCCAATTGGTGTCACCATCTTGAAGCACCGACTTCGGTGGCTTGAACATGTTCTACGAATGTCGTCCCAGAGAATTCCACGTCGTGCATTATTTGCCGACACTGGGACTGGTTGGAAAAGGGGAAAGGTGGTCAGTGTATGACATGGTGTCGTGGTATGAAAGAGAGCTGCAAAGAGCTGGCTTCTGTTGGTCCTTCACGACTTCCTGGCTGGGGTCCGAGAGATGGTGCAACACAGTGGCTAGAGACGTTATCAGATATGGCTCAGAATAGAAGCCAGTGGCGATCCGACTGTAACCTTTTACTTTCTTCATAAAGAGTGGTTCTAACTTTCTTAATTGAAAGAGTCTTCTGGTTGTACATTTCAGTTCTCCCCATCATTACTCTTACATATATTTTTTATGTATGCATCTTACCTTTTTTCTCTTCCCATTATCATTGTTTTAAGTGGCGCATATATATCTGGTGCCCCCTTGTACCAATATTTGTGTTTAAATAAATAAATACATGGGCGCTGTTTATGGCCAAATTTTCTTTCTCTTTTCTGTCTCCGTACTATCCACCATTTCCCATCAGTCGGGGCATTCACATCATGACAACTCGGGACGGTAACAGTTTTATCTGGGTCATCACTCACTACTGTAGCAACGTAACCACCAATATCCAGTGGTTTTTCATTTTTTAATTGTTTCAAGGGAGATATTCCTATTGCATATCGCGCGGTCGGGTGTTTGGCACGTTCCATAACAGCACTTACGACACTGACACATTCTTCGCTGTCAGTTCTCATGTTACCATTCCAGCCCTCATCAACCTTTTTGATGGCCGACGCCAGAAGGCTAATTGTCTCTTGGATGAGTAATATGTTGCTCGAACAACAAAAAATACAAAACCAATGGACGTTAGGCTTTGAGCACCTTTTGTATTCGGTGGGATTTATACGGGTGCACATCTTATCGAACCACTTATTGCACTCACCATATTGCGGTCCTTCCACATTGAATAAGCGATTTGGCTGTCCACATTTGCGAGTAAAGTCAACTGTCTTGAAGATCAACTAAAAAGGATAACATTAAAGTGGGTTTGAGAGAAAATTCCAAGCCCTAACTGAAATAAATCAAGTCAAAGCCAACCAAGTATGCTTCGATGCAATAAATGCACAAAAGCAGTCAATTCATAACAAGTACGAAATCACTGTCCTTTTTTAAAAGCACGTCAGAAATCCGTAAATTATAGTCTCATCGATAATATATTCACATTTATTGAACGGCTGCAAAGTGCAGATATTCACTGGACGTGATATATATTCAAAGGAATCTTCCTTGAAACATCTCCAGTGAGATTCTTATAAATGACTTGAAGTGCTAAACGAAAATATATAGCTTTTCATAACATTCCGTAAATATTTGTTTCAGTTGTGTTATTAGGAACAATGTAAGGAATATTAAAAAAAATACATCATGACTAACTGGCTTTTATCTTGGGTTATGATATTACCAGGGGACTAAAATAACAAGGCAGAACAGTCAAATGGTAACTATTGATTGAGATTGATCACCGACAACACTTATGCGAATAACTAAGTATTTAAGCTTTACGCAAGTCTTTCCTAATCTCCTATCTGTGCAATTATTATCACTCATATTCGAACTTAAAAAATAAATACATTTCTAGGCAATTAATTTATGTTTTGATTCGAAAAAGAATGATAAACAAAAATTGCTAAGTTCATTTCCTACCACTGTTTTTAATTTTTTCTAGGAGTCCTGTTCTGGATAATGTTATACCCCACAAATATTACCTCTGTGAAACGGCTATGGCGAATCATTTTGCTCAAATGAATCTAACCTTACCGGTCGACGCATCCAAAATTCAAAGTGATTGCAACTCACCTCCGTTTAGTGATTCGTCCTGCTTTCCTTTCAACTCAAGTCAGATTGCTTCCGCTCATCACTTGTATCAAAACTTGTCATTGTACACCAACAAAGAAGCGGGTGTTATTACAATTAATGACGATGAGGATATTGATGAAGACGAGCAAACCGAAAGGTCTCTAATCTATCTATCTATCTATCTATCTATCTATCTATCTATCTATCTATCTATCTATCTATCTATCTATATATATATATATATATATATATATATATATATATATATATATATATATATATATATATATATATATATATATATATATATATATAATTTTTTTCCTGAGCGTATAACCTCAGTTTAGAATGTTAATAAGTTTTCTGAAGTTCAAGATATTATGAATTCTTATGTATGCGAAGATATTGTTCATAACATAAATGATAATAGTGAACTTTGAGGATGTTACATATTAACTCGGCTATACGATTCGAAAATAAGTTACAGTAACACTGAGAAGTCACAAAAGTAGAGTTGATTATACCTTAAAAGGTTAGCATCTAAAATTTAAGAAGATAAATAAAATTTTAGAAATGTCATTGCAGCTCTACTGACGACGATATAGCGTAATTTACATAAGAAACGGAAACTTTAAGTTGTCTTCGAGAATAAAACACCAATTATGTTGTAATGCTTTAAAATATGACTGATTTATCAAGAATGTGACTTCAGAAAAATGCTGATCTTTTCTACTTGTACAGTCGTTCACTGTGACTGCGAAGTACTTCTACCTGCTACATATATAACAGTACGAGACTGTCCTATAGATGTGTGGAAGAAAACTAGATTGTAGAAACAGAACGATCTATTCATCAATCACTTATTAAACGACATCCAGGACAGTAATAAATTACATATCTCAAATGTTTGGTCATTCAATAAGTTCAAATAAATTGAGCTAGTGTATAATCAATAATCTGATGTGTAAACAACAGGAATAAGGTTTGAAGAGTTAAATAAATTCATTTTACTCCACGGTTTCTCATCAGCTACATAGAACCTAAAAGTACACTTATTAATACAATCATTTACAAATGTTCAGCATACTTTAGTTTATAAGGTTTAGGTAAATGTTCAAAACATAATCAAAATCATAATAGTAAGAACAATAGGGATATGAAGTGTATGGATAAACATAGTTAAGGTTGAAATGTATTCAAAGCCGTCGAAAAACCGCAAAATAGAATAAATTCATTTTATTCTGCAAACCTTGTTGTTCTTGCTCTGGTTAAATTTATCAAGTAATTTGGTTTTATGAAATCTGAAATGTATACAATTCGCCAACTCAATATATTTTAACTGAGAAATGTCGTTCATTGCTGAATTATACATTTGTTTTATTCTTAACAGACATGATTTCTTAATTAGCCGAACCCAACTCATGGCAATGATAATATTCAAATTTTTAGAATAAAAGAGTAACTTGAACTACATACGTGTTAATAATTGTACGAAAATTAGATTGATAACATTTTCTCATCTCTTATCGGTATCAACTAATTTACTTTAAATTTCATCACAGATCACCCTTACGATTTTCAAATGATTTGAAGGATCACTTAAGATTAAAACGAATGAATCCAACAGATACGTTTCTAAGAGGACTGTAAGTTTCTTCATTTAGTATTACAATTAACTGTTAGTTTTAATATTTTAGAACTCCTTTGTTCACCACGACTTAACATTTTTCGGATAAAAAAGATGCTTACGTCTACAGTCGTTTTTCTTGTGGTAATAATATAAATTAAACAAAGAAGCGAAAATAGTGTGAAACATCATACAATTTTACCACACTTCAGATTCACACTGAAAAATTTCATTGAAAATTCTGATCTTAACAATTCAGTTTGAGATGGGTTGGATTATCCCGTGGTTGATGTTTTGGCATCTGTGCACCCTGTGCGGATCTCTCCAGTATTGCCATTATGACCCAAGTTAGTGTAGAATATATAAAATGGGTCTAGTGGTGTAATCCAGTACGTGCGTTTAGGCCTTCTTGCTACTTGCCAGCTGGATACACATGCATCCCGGAGTTGATACTCACTCTGGGACTTAAACCCAGAACCGTTGGCGAGACAATAATTTATGGATGACCTTCGAACGAATTTCAAGTGACCTTGAGCGATATTAGCCAGTCAGTAAGCAGTCAGTTTGAAGTAAAAATATATTATACAAAACCAAAGAATTAAGGTGGAAACACTTCTTTTACATGGTCCAAAAACTTGTCAAGGTTAGAAAGAGGTTCAAAGGTTCTTAATTCGTAATGCATAAGTTAGAGGAACTCATCTATATGCCTCCGTAATAGTCGATCCCTGGAGCCATGATAAGGTTGCAAAAACTCCCAGTCTCGACCTCATAGCTTCAATATTGTTTGTGTATGCTCCAGTTGTATAAGCTTGTCATTTTAATTACGCATATATCTCTACAATACTCACACCACTGAACAGCCGAAGCTTTAGTAACATCTGTGAATATTGCAGCCAATGTTACTAGTGCTTTTATTATACAGTTCGCAGCAATTATTATAATTTGCCTTAGTCTCAATGTGGATCGAGCGAAAAAGGTTCCTGTTCTAGCAGGCATCTTCCTCCAACATATATTACATCGAGGGACAACATCACGGTAGTCTGCACAAGGTCTACAATACATTCGATTACCGCAATTACAAATAAAGGAACTTCTCAGTAGTCCCATTTATTGTAGCCGCTTAATTGTCATGTCTTCTCTAAAATCCCCTGTGAATCGATCGTACATGAGCATCAGGTACTGAAATTGCCACTGTGACCCTGAAATCCCTCAAACGCTTGTGATTGGCTCGTCCATAAATTATAGTTTCGCCTAACTGTTTGCTTCAAACTCCATCACGTTATCCACTTAGCCTTTGGATTCAGATATTCCAGACTCATCAAATGTGAGTCAAAACTTCAAAAACGAGATAGCCTAAACCGTTCCAAATTGAATTAAAAGTCATGCCTGTTGCAAGTAAGTTACTATTTGAACTCAGTAACTAAGTAAATAACCATGGAGTTTGAAGTGGACGGTACGGAGTTCGTGTCTCGACACGAACATCAACTCTGAGACGCATGTACATCCAGCTGGCAAGTCCCAAGTAGGGCGAAACGCACGTCCTGAATTCCACTGCTAGCCACATTCCATCTACTCGATATTAATGACCCTAACAGTTGTCAAGGAATGGGAGACTAACTAAATAAGTTAAGATAACGAATAAAGATGTGGAGTATCAAATATTCTAATTTGGAATGATGATAAATGGTATGTGTTTTTTCATCATGAAAACTATTTTCGAGTCATTTTAGCTTAAATATCCGATTGTTTCTTTCACTGTCGATCGTAAGTTGTTAATTTTATTTATTTATTTATTTGAACACATAAACATTGGTACAAGTGGGCATCAAATAGATAACAATGAAGTCAGTAGCAGTTATCATTGATTTGTGTGTGGGCTGTGATATTGCCCGAGTGCCCAAACTGAAGCAGCTGGTTTTCTTAAGGTGCCACACCCCGAACCTTTGGCCTAAAAGCCTAATCCACGAGGCAGTGGAGCAACGTAAGGAGATGCAGTCCCATGGTAATCGGTGACCAACAATAGGTTTATATGCTTTTTGTTCCCTCAGGATCCTGGAGCCCATGTGCACCATTGGTTCGGAATCAGAGTTTCTCAACCACCCTAGGTGAATTCTCCATATCCACCAACCCTGTTAAGGAGCCGGACATCCGCTTTTCGTCCTCTCAATTTCGTAAACAACAGTAATGCCGCGAGAAGGCGGTGAATACCTGCATACCTCACTCGTTGATATGTATAACTACGGGAAACAGTTATATTTATTGATATTCACTTGGAGAAATACTGTATATTTCACTTTATTCTCACTAGTCATAAGGAAAGCTATAAATAGTGCGGTTTTAAAGTTCAATTGAATGCTGGTGTTATGTTAATTCGTTGTCGCACAAATCCAGCTACCAACGCGATCCATGATGTAATCGTAAAACAACGTCAAAAAGACTCGTTCTTGGTGTTCGATGGATATTCCATTTTTTGTTGAACTCTTTTGCGAAGTATGTAACCTTATGTGAAAATAGAAAATCATATTTCATTAATTGTTTGTAAGGGAAAATTTCGTTTTTCACCATGCAACTCTTTTTCTTTACTAAAATAATGCAATTTTATTAGGCTTTCATCCGAACCGTCACTCGCGATAGTGCCGTTTAATCCTGATCCCCTTAAAGGTTTAATTCCGCCTAATTTCCCAGATCAAGAGTCAAGTGAAGAAAACTCAGACTCTAAAGTGTCACCAGAGAGTCAAGTTCTCGACTCATCTACTGTCCTCCCTACATTTGATAACGTTTTGTGTATGGATATCGATTCAGATTTCACAGGATAACAAAAACCGTCTGGTTTTTATTTGAGTAAGCTAAACCTTTTCGCATTTTCCTAGTTTATATTAGTGTTTTACATGCACTTGAAATTGTTTTTGACGCCATAGTTTAAGGTGAAAGATATGTAAAGATTCAGAATCTTAACAACTTATTGGTTAGTTTTATTTAATACTCCACTTCTTATTTCTCTAGTGTTTCTCATTTAATTGCTCCATCATACACGAGTGTCATAGACAAATACTTTTGATACACGCATAATTTCTGCTGGAGTTGTGTCTCATATTCGTAAACGAATACTCAGTATACTGTCCCTGTGATAGGTAGACGGTCATCTTTCCCGCTCCACGATTGGGATAAATTATATGAAATTAAATGAAATTTTCATATTCATGCTGAGATTTCATCAGTCACTAAATCAATTTGTTTAGTAAGACTGTTGAGATTGGTGGGTTGACTGAAGCTACACAGTCCTGAAACAATATTATGCAATTATAGAAATTGAAGTTTATTCTAAGTATTTTTCACTTTCTTACAACGTGCTTGATAAATTACATTTCGTGAAAGTTTTCACCAACCAGAAACATGTGGTCAGCATGCTTCCAGTAAAAATAGTGAAATTACGCCGGAGTAAGGCTGTGATAGAAATCAAGTAAATGCCTTTCATATGAGCATTAGGACTTTCATGATAGGGAGTGAAGTAGTTGAGCGTGTTGACAGCTTCACTTATCTTGGGAGTCTCATCAGCCCTTGTGGTTTGGTATGTGACGAAATCTCAGCACGGATACATAAGGCTCGTCTAGCTTTCGCCAACTTGCGTCATTTATGGCGTAGGCGAGATATCCGTCTAGCAACAAAGGACGGGTTTACTGTGCAGCAGTTCGCTCCGTCCTACTTTATGGCAGTGAAACATGGCCAATAAGAGTAGAAGATATTCGTAGGCTACTAGTGTTCGATCATAGGTGTCTTCGAAGCATTGCTCTTTGTGTTCTACCAAATTCTGATCTTCTGAATTCCTCATGTCTTTATCTTTTTCTCTTTCCAAATTTATTTCACTGTACTATACTCCTTCAATAATTTCTTCAAACCCTAATCTTTTGGATTTCTGATTATACTCCTACTACTTCTACCACCATGGGATTTGAATCGACAACTTCATCTCTGTGCTAATGTGGTATGGCAACTCGAACTGATGTACGTACGTACGAAGTCCTACGTTGTGACTGACTGACTGACTGACTGACTTAGGACTTTCAACTTTATAGGAGTTACTTAGTGACAAATTAAGTATTACATCAGTTATGCACAAACTATTCGTCTTGCTTTAAAGATTAATCACTCATTAGTTAGCACAAACCACTAAGAATTAAGCTAAAGGGTATAATTGTAAGCTTTTGATTCCTGAACGTATATCCCATCTCATTCCAAAAGACATTAAGCTCAGCTGATTATTAGTGGTTATTGGTGCAAAACCTGTATTTGGTTAGTAAATTACATGTTAGCCCATTAGTGAATTTAGAAACTCGACGATGGGCATTTTAACATAGGCACATTGATTGTCAGACTGCATAACTTTATTTACTTTTACCCCAATTTTCACACTTAGTATTTCCTTATTGTAACCATTGCTGTTCCTTTTTGTCACCAGTTCCTAACAGAAAATATCCACGCTAAATTTGGCCATTGAGTCAAAATCATAGCGACCTTATAATCATATAAGAAATAATCTCTTTTGTGATTCTTTTTCATTAAAATAATTGATATATTTCTACTCACATGTGAAATGTATTTCACTTAACTTTTATCTCCGTTTCTTGATAGATTATAAAGAAACTGTTCAAATTGTACATTATTATCATTTCCTAACGAAGTCTACCCCCTGCATATTCCGCTCCCTCACCCCGCATTCGCGTAAGTAATGGTTATTACCCTTTAAAATCTTCAATTATTGTCTGTATAATGGTTTCTCCAAGTCATTTTTATCAGTCTACATTCTGGCAATCCGAGTGTTTCAACTTAATGATAGAAAAATTAACAATATATTTCAGGAACAACTAGAGAAACTGTTAGTCAACCATGATTGTGATATTCACCCTAAAGTAGCCTGCCATGATATCCAGAATTCTTTGGAAACAGCAGTGATATATGCCAGTAACTTAAACCAAGAGATTAAGAAAAATTAGTTTATTTTAGCGGCGTCTACTGAACTGATAGACATTCAGGAATTCAACCAGTCAGGCTCCGAGTACTATGAGGCGCGAAAACAGCTCAATTGTGAGCTGGTTATGAGCAGTGGTTGGTAGCGAAAGCTAAAGAAATGGAAAAGGAAACGGTTATAGGTAACAATAGACAACTGTTCAAACCTATCAAGTAAGGCAACAATCCAAGCATGTTGCGATTCTCTCCATCTAATTGCGAAATTTCGCTTCAAGATTGGTTTGAGTCAGCGCTTGAAGTAATAATAGGAAATGACGTAGTTGAGCGCGTCGACTGCTTCATTTATCCTGAGATCCTCATCATTCCTGACGTCTGGTGTCTGACGACATCTCGGTACGGGTCCCAAAAACCCGATTGACCTTTAGCAACTTGTGGCGTAGACGAGATGTCTATCTTTTAACTAAATAATGAATTTATTGTGAGACAGTCCGCTTCGTTCTACCTTATGGATATGAAACATGGCCGTTAAGAATAGACAATATTCCCAGGTCAGCGGTATTCAATTATAGATGCCTTCTAGGTATCGCTTGTGTATTCGGGGCCATCGGGTGAGCAATAACGATTTTAAGTATGGGGTACCAGATAAATGGGGCGAATCAACTGATGAAGTCGTTAGTGGATCTCTATCATCTGAGGTGTTTAGGACATGTGTTACGTATGCCCAACCATCGCCTACTTCAACTTGTGATGTTGTCTGATGCAGGAGTAGGTTGTAAAAAAGATAGAGGCAACCAAATCAAGATGTGGCACTAGTCCATAGAGTTACTGACAATCGAACTGTGATATGTTAGGTGTAGGGTACCTCGTTGGGTCCCTCGTGGTTGTTGTAACCAGTGGTTAGAGACTTTGAAGGAAATGGCTCAAAACATTTTGCAGTAGTTTGGGTGCATCCATTTTTCGTCTTTCCCCAGATTCTAAGCTTCTTAATTCTATATATTTTTATTTCACCAATTTATATTTTGAATCGTATCTTCAATACCTAGTTTTTTCTATTGCCACTAATATTATTACTACCTCTACTATTTTGGGATTTCCCCTAACATTCTCATCATGCTGTGCTAAAGGGCTGTGGCAACGTGGACCAACGTATATATGTGCCAGGTTCTACGTCTCGATTGACCAAATAACTTTTACCATATAAATGTCTAACATTTGGTAGAAAGGTAGCAGCTAGTGTTCATTATTCTTATATACGATTTGAAAATTTGTTGTGGTTTAAAGTATTTCTGGTGAAATATAAATGTTATTAGTCCGTAAGGTAATGTTTTTTATTTTGTATATTAGTACACCGTTTATAAATTTATAGAAAAATAAATTGGTTATCCAGAAGTTTATTAATAACCAATTATTGGAACTTGTCCTTTTTGTTCACGAAATAACACTTGCAAAAATTTGATGAATTGGCGATTTATTTCCTTTTTTAAAAAATGAAATCTAAAGATACGACAAGAAAATAAATGTTTTATTCTTTCACGAATGTAATGTATAACAATTTTCGTTAGTTATTTGTCATATTGTATGATAATGGTTCGATTCAATATTCGGTTCTTGAACTCCAACCACCATATAGTATATATAAATCTACTTCACTTAAGTTATTTGTTCACTGTAAAGTATGAATAACTCATATAAAATAATTTAGACCAAAAATTTGATAGAAGTTAAGTTTCATTAAACTATTCCTACTTCTGTAGTTTCGTATTGTTCATTTTTGTATTCATCATATTGACTTTTATTCCAGTCATTTTATTCATTTGATACCTTGTTGATGGTTGGACTGGTAAAAAGACACTAACCACACCATGATTTTATGTAGTAGCTCCTGAGTTCAAGTCTGGAAACAATGATTAATCTTATTTAAATAATAGAGTTTATTAATCTGATTTATCTCAAATTGTCTTACGTGTTTCCTGTTTATATTTCAGACACACATATCGAGTGAATTATTACAGTGGATAGTCCATGCATCTTCTGATGTTACTATATTAATGAACAAGACCTTCAAAGATTAAAACACATCTTGCCCTTGATTGTTATCTTTGTCATTTGTTGGATATATACCTGTTAATATCTTTTACAATGTCTAAGATATGCTGTGCTGCTTTTTTATTGTAGTGCACGTATATATTGTTGGTTCTTTCAATATTTATTGGTGTACTCATTGTATATGAACATTATATTTTCCAGATTTCTTTCTGTTTAGATGCAAATATATCAAATTTTTGCAGCGTAACACGTTTTTTGTTATTTCGACTATCACAAACTGATAATTCTTGGACACACAAATTACACTTTCTCAATTGCAGTTTTAAGGTAATGTTAAGGTTAGTGATTCCGATCCAAACCATCATAATTGTTATGACTGGTGGTCAACTGTTATGACTGCTTCATCATTGGTTATATCTGGTCGTCGCTGATTGTTATGTCGGAATCACTTATTACTTAGACTTGTAAAACCGAAGATACACTACAGTTCCCACGATGTGAAAGAAAGAACACTAAGACTGATAAAAGAGAAGATTCATTAATCATAAAACACGATGACGGTGACTTTACACGAAAATACACTCATTAATATATTTAATTGTACGTCCATTTTGATAATTAATCAGGATGAAATCACATCACATGAAAAATAAATCACATGCTGCATGTCATAGTGATTATAGATCATGTTCACTTAATACAAGAATGTCATATGTTATACAGAATAAAATATCTCATAGGGAAAAACAGAAACAAACATCATACAGAGTAATCATCACATTGAATGAAAATGGAAAGAATGTTGAACAAGGGTGACAATGAGTAAAAGAATATGATATTGACTATTTATCCCATCATATCCATAATACTTTGAATTTTATTGAAAATGTTTTTTTTTCTTCAGATAAACATTTAAATAGTAGTAACACACTGTTAACTACTTAATATCTGTGTATAGTTTAGAAATAGCGAATATTTTAAAAACTAGATAGTGTTAAACCCTATGTTATTGTAACTTGAATTAGTATATTTTTGTAATATGTTCTTTATTCAGCGTGAAGTAACATAAATCTTTCTTAAAAACATTGAGTAAAAGTGAAAACAAATCAGTTACCTGTAATTTTAGTTTTATTCAGTTATTTCCTTTATTGCATCGACTTATTTGGCTCTGTCGTCTGCGTTTTTCATTTACTAAAAATACCAATCAAAGTTACAGATAAATACATCATCTCCAAATGACACTGTCAACGTTCTTTTTCACGTTTGATAATCGATTGACTCACTATTTTGAATTAAACGCTAATATCTTATCTATTACCAGCCTTCAAAAGCAAGCGAAGGTTCCAGTTTTATTTTTCAATTGGTCATTCATACTCATATTCCTTGACTTTCTAGATTTATATAGGCTTTTTGTTGAAATCGGTGCTCCTGTTTATCCCTTATTTCGGAGTGCATGTAGCTAATTTTAACTTCTGAGTTTTTTAAAGTGAATACATAAACCATGGTGGAAATATTAGGAATCTGCGATTGCATTTCTTGATGTTCCGTACAAGTGACAATGTTATTTCTTAGAAATCATTTATTTACAATAAATTAAAGTGGATGGTTATTTGAATGGTTCATTAATTACAGTCGTATTATTTCTGAAAGCTATGACTCGTATTTCTGAAGAACGCGTTGGTTTTTCTGAGATCATCTACTTTATAAATCATTATGACTCAAAAAAGTGTTTACTGTCTTGTATTCGCCAGATTATTGAGTGCTAAACTGATAACACTCTTCACACAATTCATTAGACGCCGAAGAGTTATTATTATTATTATTTGGTCTCACCTTCCAAAAAAAATTACACGGAATACAGATACATCTGTATACCGTTCAATAAATGAGTATACCAAGATTATGAATCCACTTCATATGAACCTATTTTAGTTTGATTCAAACTTGAAGATATTCAAACTGTGGTTGGATGTTTACGATACTTAACTCAGCATAGATGTTACATAATTGTGTAAAATCTTTATTTCCCTAAACAGTTGCTGATATAAGCTTGATTATTAAACTGTATTGTCCAGTCCTCCTCCAATGTTCTGTTCAAGTGAATTCGCAATCCAATAAATTGAAAATCCTTCTAGATGTAAAACTTTAAGTCTACCTGTTCTTCATAAGCCTAAACGATAATATAGTAAGTGAATTTACTCTTTAGAACTTTGTAAGGTTATCCGTGACCTTGACTGACGATGACTAAATTGATCATGACGTAAGAGGGTGTGTCTACTTAGCTACTATTAGGTTTAGATGTGATTATCAGTTGAGTGTGACAAGGCTGAATCGGTATTGACTGGAAATTGTATGTTTGTTAGGTGGCTCATATAAGAGGTCAATATGTATTATGTGAGGTGGATTGGGATTCCACGAACTTCCCTACAAGTTTAAGGGTAGAACAAAATATTAGTTTTGTAGAGGTAGATCCAACATTTAATGAACAACGAATTTCGAGTTAAATGATTTTGCTTGCCTATTGTGATGTGTTCGCTAACGAAAAAGAGGGTTCCAAAGACCACTCATATGTAAAAGGGGAAATTTGTAAAAATCTCAGCGACTACACTTGAAGTAGATCCAGAAAAATGGTTTGTGCCATATTATTCGGTGTGGGGTACCTGGTTGCAGTCCTCATGGTTGTCGTAACCAGTGGTTAGAGACTGAATGACGTGGCTAAAAACGGTTTTCAGGTACGTTAACTGCTTGTCCTGTCTTATAACTTGTATCCTGAAATCCCCTCGTAAGTTGTTTTTTTCTACACCTAATATTTTCTACTTCACTAATACTACTGCTTATGTTGTTATTACTTTTATCGCTCTGAAGTTTGTCTTGATAGCTAATTCGCTTTGATAGTGTAATATGTTAACTTGAACCGATTTATATTGGTTAGGCTGAGCAAATTTTTTGGTTAAGCACTCAGTAAAGAAATGACATCATCCCTGGTTATGGGAAACTCAGAAGACACGTCGGATGGTAAAGTTCAACTGAGGTGATGGAACTTCACATTTTGAAAGGAAAATAACTGATTTAACTATGCCTAAAAATCTGGGTACATTTGAAATGAATGAACGCAAGATTTCAATGTAATCAGAATGGGATTGAGTGATTTAGAATAACCTAGAGAGGGAGATAATTCTGAAAACTATTGAAAGAAAGAAGCGTTTTGTTTATTTGAAACCAAAATTCTGGGTCATATCGTTTTAAACTGTAAGGGAACTTTGTTTTGTGACCAATACTCCACTGACAGCTGACATATTTCGTTCTTCTGAACAGTACTACTGATTAATCAGTAAGTATTGTGAATCGAATTATTTATTTTGAGACTCACCCGTCTTTAAGCGGGATATATTTTTGATTAGAGGTAATGTATATCTGTAAAAAAGTAAACTGCCTTTCACTGGACCTATTTTTTCCAGTGTTTATATTGAGCAGTGTACATAAATGCTTATTTCAGTCCACAATAGTATTATTTTTTATACTACCTAAACTCTTTCATTGAATATTGAATCGGAAAAAATTCACTTCCAGTACATTTATTGTCGACATTCTTAATAACAGAATGATTTAGCACCCTCGAACTATGATGTGTACAGCCTATGATCTGTAAGGTACTAACGTTAAAGTGTATAGCTAAAGTTATATATTAATCACCGTGTACATAAATAAGAAGTAACATTGTGATCGAAATTGTCTGATTCATAAACACTGCTTTGGAAATGATGTCTTAGATTTTGTTAAGGTGTTAGGTTGACAATAGTATGACAATACGCTACAAATCTGAAAAAGAGATTCAATGTACAGTGTCAAATCCATAGATATATCACGGAACATATTTTCATCAAGGTACAATACACTGGCTTGCATATTTCAGTTTCTGTCGATTCGCATTGTTCCCATGTTACCATATATAATTATCTCTGGTTAACTGATCGCTTTCTACCTGTCTGACTTTACGGATCATTAAATAGCATAAAATTGCTGCGAGTAAACTTAATTCATCAAATATCTTTCGATTCCGGATAAATAATCAGTTATCACTGTTGGCGACAGTGTGTTATAGCTTTTAATCTAAATTTACAGTATGGCATAAAAAACTCGAAAAAACGATAAAGTATTGATTCAGGAGATCGGCATTTATTCATAACACGAGTGTCGATAAAATGAGACTAACTGTATATTTATTATTTAGAAATATTCAAAAATCACATGAACTACGCCTGTAAATCTTCTAGAGTTACTGCCGGTCCCAAGCCCGAGTAGAGAAGGTGGGTTGGGTATCAGGTCAGCAACCACATCCCGCAAAAATACACCAATCAGCATGGACACTTAAAACCATTTAAACTTTGCCCTCCCAGTTGAAAGAAGAATAATTATGCCTCGTGATGATTGCCGAGATTCTTTGGAGGTCACCATTTCGATATACCTTCTAACAACCAGGGTAACAGTTTATATAGATACATGGAATGTTTGCACAATGTGGAGGACAGTGAGGACCAATCAAATAGTTACGGAAATGAGGAGATACAACTTGACGGGGCTCAAAATCAGTGAATCTCATTGGATCCAAGATGGGCAGAAAAGGATAGATTCAAGAGAGATTCAGATGTACTATGGTTATGAGGAACAAAAAGGCCTCGCACACTCAGGGAGTTGTTCTGGTGCTGTCAAAAGAAGTACAGACTACACTTATGAGATAAGAATTTCATGTATCCAGAATCATCATAGCGTCCTTTGAAACAAAGACGGAGGGAATCACAATGAATGTTATCCAATGTTATGCAACAAACAATAATAGCAATGACGACGATAAAGGCCAGTTTCAAAAGAGATTGCAATCAACATGGAGAAGTGCTCAGGAAAAAACCTCACAATCCTGATGGGAGACCTAAACGTCAAAGTCAGAATGGACAACACCGGATATGAAGATATCATGGGACGACATGGATTGTCTGGGAGAAGGGAACGAGAATGGTAACAGATTTGCAAATTTGTGTGCGTTCAACAAAATGATTATAGGTGGAACGATATTCGCGCACAAACGCATACACAAATCTAGATGGATCTCATCAGATCACATTACAGAGAATCAGATTGATCGTATCTGCATCATTAAAAAATTCAGAAGGTCGATGGAAGGCATGAGAACCAGGAGAAGAGGTGACATAGCTTTAGATCACCACCAGCTGGTGGTTGCCAAGATGAAGCTGAAGCTAACGAAACACTGGACAACTGGAGAAACAGCATTACGAAGGTCCAATACAACCTTCCTTCGAGATACTGACAAACTCAAGGAATTCAAGATAGCTCTCAACAACAGATTCAACGCCACAAGATCTACTCAGAGAAGAAGCTACTATAGAGTAAAACTTGAAAGGGGTCAAAGAAGCACTATCCCTAACATGTCAGAAGGCTCTGGGACGCAACGAGTATCATCATAAGGAATGGATCTCTATGGAACCCTTGATAAGATTAGAGAAATGAGGAACAAGAAGGCGACAACTAACAACAGTCG